CTAAGGAGGGGGGGTCTGAGCTAAGGTCCACTAAGGAGGGGGGGTCTGAGCTAAGGCCCACTAAGGAGGGGGGGTCTGAGTTAAGGTCCACTAAGGAGGGGGGGTCTGAGTTAAGCTGAGGGTAAGCTCCTAGTAATGAATGGCATCAGGCCTCTCTGCCTCATCCTCTCGGATCTGTCTGAGTGCTGGCCAAGACTCACTGTGCTGAAGAGCCTTGGTAGGGGGGTGGCGAGCATGGTGAACTAAGTCACATCCTACTAAAATTTCTTCATGCTGTATTCACCCTTGTAATTTGAATTATTCTCATCCAGAAAAGATTTTCAGAGTGGAAAATTCCAATGGAACGAAACCCTTCCGTCCAGATCTATTCCTGGAAACAGCAGAGGAGAAAGAGCTAGAAGTGAGTACGTCCTCTCTGTATTTGTTTATTTAGCCCGCTGTAACAAGTAGCCCAAAATTTGGTTGATTAAAACAACAAAAATGTATTCTCTTATAGTTCTAGAGGCTAGAAGTCCAAAATCAAGTTCTCAGCAAGGTCATGTTCCCTCCAGAGGCCCTAAAGGGATACAATTCATTCCTTCCTTCTTCCAGAAGCTTCTGATGGCTGTTGACATTCTTTGGCTTGTGGCCACACACTTCAATCTCTGCCTCTTGGTCACATCTTCTCCTTCTCAGTTCTCCCTCTGCCACCCTTCTAGTAGGATACATGTGATTGCACTAGGGCCCAATCCAGAATTATTGCTTCATCTCAAGATCCTTAATTTAATTGCCTCTGCAATGACCCTTATTCCAAATAAGGTAACATTCACAGATAACAGGGATTAGGGCACAGATGTGCCTTTGGGAGCCATCCTCAGCCTACCACACTCCCATGCCCTTTTCGCAAACTTAGAAAAGACCTGGCTCCTAAAGTATACATCTGATTCTCTGTAATTTTTTTTTCTTTTTTAAATTGGTACATAACATTTGTACCTATTGGCTGGGTGCACTGGCTCATGCCTGTAATCCTAGCACTTTGGGAAGCCAAGGTGGGAGGATTGCTTGAGGTCAAGAGTTTGAGACCAGCCTGAGCTGTTGCAATACCCCATCTGTACAAAAATAAGAAAAATTAGTTGGGCATGATGGCATGCACCTGTAGTCCTAGCTACTTGGGAGGCTGAAGCAAGAGGATTTCTTGAGCCCAGGAGTTTGAATCTGAAGTGAGCTATGATCCTGCTGCTGCACTCCAGCTTGGGTGACAGAGCAAGACTCCATCTAAAAGAAAAAGGATTAATAAAGAAAGAAGGTGTACATATTTATGGGATACACGTGATATTTTGCTACATGCACAAAATGTGTAATTGATCACATTAGGGTATTTGAAGTATCCATCACCTTGCGTAGTGGTCATTTTTATTTGTTGGGAATATTTCTTTTTTTTTTTTTTTT